CTCCTCCCGCCCCCCCTCCTCGCTCCTACGCCCTGCTCCCCCTTCCTCGCTCCTCTCCTCCGTTTCTCCCTCTCCCTCGCGTCTCGGCCCGGGGGGCAGCCGGACGGCTCCCCGCGCTCCCCGCGCGGGAGGCGCCCTCGGGCTCGGGGGTGCGTTTCGACGCGACCACTGGGACCCCCGCGCGCCTTCGCCACCCAGACCCCTCGCGTTGTGAAAATCACGGCGGGAGATTTGTCGAAATTTTACGCCTCTGGGGGTCCGCACCTGGCCTCGGGACCGTCAGGAAACGATTCGGGATGAAACGCCGGTCCCGGGGAAGGGGTCCAGACCGCTGGGGGTCGACGCTCTGAAAACATCGTGACGCCGGGGGCCTGCGCACGTGGTGCCCTCTCGGATTGCCTGGCGGCCTTCTGCAGGGCCGACCAGGCCAGGCGCGCGAGGGAGGTCTCAGGCCTCAGGCCTTTGAGCGGTGTGTCCAGACGCGCTATCGAAGTGTAGGGAAGCCACTGTCATGAGATCGCCCGTGCCGAGATGGTCCAGAGAGGAGAACTGCGTGGAATTTGGGGCAGCGCGTGGGCGGAAGGGAGGGAGGGAGGGAACCAGGAGGCGGAGGCGGCGAGCAAGCGAGCGAGTTTGCGGACGGGGCGTGGCACCTCGCCGCCCCCATGAAGCGCTCGCGCACCGGCCAGAGAGGCATGGAGCGGGGGAGGGCAGGGGGGAGGGGGGAGACCGGGAAACGAGGGCACAGCAGTGGCATGGAGCGCTCCTGGGCCGTCTGGAGGCCATCTTGGGCGTCTTGGACCGGTCGTTCGGTGACTGCGAGCCCTCTTGGACCGGGCCCTCTTGGAGCGCCCCTGGAGCGCTCTGGGGGAGTCCGCCGGGCTGCTCCCCAGGTGCTTTGGATCTGGGGACGCCCAAGGGCCGCCCCGTTAACGTTGCTGCTTAGCCCGAGCGAACACTGATGAATCCTGGATGAGCATGACTAGTCGGTGACCAGGTCGTGTGTGTGTGCGTGTGTGCGTGTGTGTGCGTGTGTGTGCGTGGGTGTGCGTGGGTGTGCGTGGGTGTGCGTGGGTGTGCGTGGGTGTGCGTGGGTGTGCGTGGGTGTGCGTGGGTGTGCGTGGGTGTGCGTGGGTGTGCGTGGGTGTGCGTGCGTGGGTGTGCGTGGGTGTGCGTGGGTGTGCGTGGGTGTGCGTGGGTGTGCGTGGGTGTGCGTGGGTGTGCGTGCGTGTGTGCGTGCGTGTGTGCGTGTGCGCGTGCGCGTGCGCGTGTGCGCGTGCGCGTGCGCGTGCGCGTGCGCGTGCGCGTGCGCGTGCGCGTGCGCGTGCGTGTGTGCGTGTGTGCCTGTGTGCCTGTGTGCCTGTGTGCCTGTGTGCGTGCGTGCGTGCGTGCGTGCGTGCGTGCGTGTGTGTGTGTGTGTGCGTGTGGGTGCGTGCGTGCGTGCGTGCGTGCGTGCGTGCGTGCGTGCGTGTGTGCGTGCGTGTGTGCGTGTGTGTGCGTGTTTGAAAACAGTTACACACAAACGCAATGACAATATATGCAGTGTTATCAGCAGCGAGCTCGACTCATCAAATGGTCGGCTCTCGGCGCGGCGCGTCGGAAGCGAATTGGGCACAATGGAAGGGGATGGCAGGAGGGGAAGGAACGGGAGGGCCGCGCGACGGCCGTAGCGCCCTCAGATCGTGAACAACTTCGGGATGTGCCAATGTCAGGCTCAGGTGCTCGGCGCTGTCAGTGCGGGCGCAGGCACACCGCATATCCAGTGTACCCCGCCGCGTCCACGGCAGCGATGACGGCCGCGGCCGCAGTCGCAGCCGCAGCTTTGCGACAGCATCGCGGATAGAGACCGCGCTCAGGGACCACCCCCTTCGCACCCCCTCTGGCGTCGAGAAAGTGCCACGCCTGCTAGGCGTTGCGACAGTGTCGTGGATAGACACGGCGCTCAGGGACCACCTCCCTGCGCACCCCCTCTGGCGTCGAGAAACTGCCACGCTGCTAGGCTCTGCGGCAGTGTCGTGGATAGACACCGCGCTCAGGGACCACCCCCTGCGCGCCCGCTCTGGCGTCGAGAAAGTGCCGCGCCTGCTAGGCTTTGCGACAGCGTCGTGGATAGACACCGCGCGCAAGGATCACCCCCTGCGCACTCCCTCTGGCGTCAAGGAAATGCAACGCCTGCTAGACTTTGCAACAGTGTCGTGGATAGACACCGCGCCCAGGGACACTCCCCGCGCATCTCCTGTGGCGTCGAGAAAGTGCCACGCCTGCTAGGCTTTGCGACAATGTCGTGGATAGACACCGCACTCAGGGACCACCCCCTGCGCGCCCCCTCTGAAGTCGAGAATATGCCACGCCTGCTAAGCTTTCCGACCCAGTCTGTATGTGGTGCCAGGCTGTATGAGGACGTGTGCCTCTGTGGGTGCCCAGTATGTTGTGCATACGTCTTGGATGCATGATGCAGTGAACACGCCAGGCGTACACTGGCATTGGATGGTGTGTCTGCGATTGTGCGCATGCGTTTGGCTGCATGTAGACGCGTGTCTCATGTACGTGCCGTGCACGTGTTGCGCGTGGGTGAGGGGAGAAGGAAGAGAAGGAGGGGAGGAGAGGAGGGAGATGAGGGAAGGGTGCGACGCGGCAGGGCAGAAAACCAGAACCCCACGAAACATGTGAGGAGGAACCCCACTAAGCATGTGAGGAACAAGAACCCCACTGAGCATGTGGGGAAGAAGAGGTGAAGAGGGAGGAGGGAGAGAGGTGAGTGTGCGAGGGAGACGCGGGTGGGACGCGGGAGAGAAGAAAACTAGAACCCCAGTAAACATGTGAGGAATAACGAGGACGACGACGGCGACGACGACAACAACGACGACCAGGACGACGACCAGGACGACGACGACGACGACGACGACCAGGAAGACGGCGACGACGACGACCAGTTCGACGACCAGAACGATCAGTACGGCGACAATGGCAACGACGACGGCGGCCGCGCTGCCATCACCGCCGCCGGTTGTATCTCGTCGATCTTCGCTCATCAACTCTCGACGTCCTCCCTAAGCCTCTGACGTCGTTACTTTTTCACAACGTGGACTCCCGGAGGTCTCCACCTCTTCCCTGGGACAGGCTGTTCATCCCCAGCTGTCTTTTAACGGCCCTGTGGCGCAGTGAGACAGGCCTGAGCTGGACCGAATCGCGAAACAGGATCGGGTCGAGATCGGATCGGATCGCCAATGAATCGGCCCAAATGAAATCGAAATCAGATCACCGCGCCCAGCTCCAGCTAGCCCTGGCCGATGCCGGTGAATCGAACCGAATCGAATCAAACGGGAATCGCGGCATTCAGAAAGCAGCGTCATCGATCCGATCCTGATCGTCCCAGGGCCCGATGACGGCCCCAGAGGCCGAGATCGAGGAGAACCGCCAGGATCGCAACACAACCAAAACAATGCCCGTAGGGGTGCAAGAGGGCGAGAACCTCCAAGAGCCAACGACACGGTCCGAAAACCCGCCAAAGGGGGGGGAAGAGGACGGGAAGGGGGGGAAGGGATGGGGGAGGGGACGACGACGGCGACGACGACGACGAGGACGACGACGATGACAACGAGGACGACGACGACGACGACGACGACGACGACAACGACGACGACGAAGACGGCGACAACGACGAAGACGGAGACAGGACGACGACGACGGAGACAGGACGACGACGACGACGACGACGACGACGACGACGACGATGACGACGACGACGAGGCGACGTCGCTGTCGCTGGGGACCCGAAAACAAACTACACCACCCCACCAACGGCCCCACGGGGCGCAGCGTCCACCGGGAGATCTGGCGCTGGCTCCTGCGCGGTATGTGCCGCGGCCCCCAGAGGCCAGAGGTCTGGACCCCTTCCCCGGGACAGGTTTTTCATGGGCTCCCAGCTTCGCGCTTCGCGCTGCGCGAAGCGCGAAGCGCGAATAACTTCGCGCTCTCGCGCCGCCCTCCCAAAGGGAGAATAGGAGGACGAGGAGGAGGGGGAGAAGGAACGAGGACCGCGAAGCGCGAAGCGCGAATAACTTCGCGCCCTCGAGGGAGCCCTTGTTTTTCACCCCGAGTCGCTTCTTGCCGATTCCGAGGCCCGGAAGGGCCCCCCGAGGCCGAAGATAACAGAAAGCCTCCCGTCCTGATCGTTTTCGCAACGCGAGGGTGCCTGGGCAGGTGTGGTGGTATCGTTTGTCTTTTGGTCGACGCTGGTCGCGGCGGCGAGGACGACCGCGCGGGAGGGCACCGGGCCTCGGTGCGGCCCGCGAGCGTCGCGAGGCCGAGCAGGCCACGCGCGAGGCGCTGCATTGTCCCGCCGGGACCCCGCTCGGGGAGGGGTCTTCGGGAGGGTCTTCGATACCGTCGTCCTCGAGAAGGAGGGGAACGAGGAGAGAGGCAAGGAGGGAGGGAGAAAGGGAGGGGGAGGGAGGGGCCCTAGTGAACCCTGAGGAGTCCTTGGGGGCCCTGAGGATTCCTGACGTGTCCTGAGGAGTCTTTGGGGGCCCTGAAGAATTCTAAGATATCCTGAGGAATCCTGAGCAGCCCTTCGGGATCCTGAGAAACCCGAAGGAGATCCTGGAGAACCCTTGGGTGTCCCACGGGTTCCTGTGGGATCCTGAGGAATCCGGAGGAATCCTGGGAACTCGGGAGGAATCCTGAGGAACCTTGAAGGGTCCAAAGAAATCCTGGCGAATCCTGAGGAGTCCTGATGAGAGCCCAGAGGACGCCTAGGGGATCCTGAGGAATCCTTGTGGGTCCTGGGGAATCCTGGGCGATCCTGAAGAATGCGAAGGAGTCCTGAGGAATCCTGAGGGGCACCCTGAGGGGACCCTGAGGAATCCTTAGGGCTCCTTCGGGGTCTTCAGGCATCCTGAGGAACCTTGGGGGACCCTGAGGTATCATCGTGGATCCTGAGAAGGAATACGTAGGACTCTTTTGCAGGGGGGGTCCTGGGGAATCCTGAGGGGTCCTCGGGAATCCTGAGGAGTCCAGAGGTGTCGAGAGGAATCCGGAAGAACCCAAAGGAATCCTGATGAGCCCAGCAGAAGCCTAGGGGATCCGGAGAAATCCTCGCATGTCCTGAGGATTCCTGCAGAGCCCAGCGGAATCCTGAGAAACCCGAAGGAGATCCTGAAAAATGCTCTTGGGGTCCCAAGGGTTCCTGTGGGATCCTGGGGAACCCTGGAGCCTCGGGAGGAATCCTGAGGAATCCTAGGAGATCCTGAAGAATCCTGACGAGCCCTGAGGAGTCCTGATGAATCCAGAGGAAGCCTTGGGGATCCGGATGAATCTACTAGAATCCCACCAGCCCTTTGGGCGTGAGTGGTTTAGGGAGTCCTCTCTGTCCTCAACCCCCCTTCTTCCCCTTCGGGGAGGGGTTTACCCCTCCCCCTACCCCCTACCCCTGGACCTGGAGAGGGGGTTTCGCGGGTCGTCAGGGGGGTCATTTTCGACTCCTGGGAGGGCTAAAAAACGACACCCCTCACGAGGATTCTGGCCCCCACGGGGGGAGGCAGAAAAAACCCTCTCCTCTTCTGTGAAGCCAAAATCATTGACTTTACTACGGTTTTGGCCCCATTTTGGCCTTCTGAGGGGGCAGCGCTCATGAAAGCTCCCCTCTTGGTTCAAGGCAAAATCATTGATTTTACAAGGTTTTGGGCTCAGTTTGCCCTTCTGAGGGGGCAGCGCTCATTAAAGCTCCCCTCTTCTTTGATCGATTCCCTCCAAGATGGCCCCAAGAAGCGCCCAGGAGGCACCAAGAGGCCCCAAGATGGCCCCAAGAGGCCCCCAGGAGGCCCCCAAGAGGCCTCCAAGAGGCCCCCAAGATGCCCCCAAGAGGCCCCCAAGAGGCCCCAAGAGGCTCCCCCGAGGCACCCAAGACGCTCCTGGAAGCCCCTGGGGCCGCCAAGAGGCCCCCAAGACGCCCCAAACGGCCTCCAAGAGGCTCCCAAGAGGCCCGAAGAGGCTCCCCCAAGGCACCCAAGACGCTCCTAGAAGCCCCTGGGGCCGCCAAGAGGCCCCCAAGACGCCCCAAAAGGGGACGAGGTGCCCGAACGCCTCACGCCACGAGGAGCCCGAACGACTCACACCAGGACGAGGGGCCCGAACGACTCACACCACGAAGAGCCCGAACGACTCACACCAGAAGGAGGGGCCCGAACGACTCACACCAGGACGAGGCGCCCGAACGACTCACACCACGAGGAGCCCGAACGACTCACACCACGACGAGGGCCCCGAACGACTCACACCACGAGGAGCCCGAACGAGTCACACCAGGAGGAGGGGCCCGAACGACTCACACCAGGACGAGGGGCCCGAACAACTCACACCACGAGAAGCCCGAACGACTCACACCAGGACGAAGAGCCCGAACGACTCACACCACGAAGAGCCCGAACGACTCACACCAGGAAGAAGGGCCCGAACGACTCACACCAGGACGAGAAACCCCAAACGACTCAAACCACGAGGAGCGCTTTCTCTCCCTCCTCCTCCGCCTCGTCCTTCTCCCGCTCCCACCACAAGGAGGATGTACAAGGAGGCGGGAGGAAGGAGGAACAGGGGAGATATGCGGGGGCAGGCGGAAACACGCCTGAAAAACACGACTGTCGGCATGCTTCGCAAGAGTTGCTGTTTTGAGATGGGCTGGTGGGGATACGCGAAGCGTAAAGAATTCTGAAAAATGCTGAGGGGTCCTGAGGAATCCTGACGGGTACTCAGAGGGGATCCTGAGGAATCCTTGGGAAACCAAAGGAGGCCTTCAGCATCATGAGGAATATTGGGGGATCCTGAAGAATCGCTGTGGATCCTGACGCAGAATCCATCGGACCCATTTGGAGGGGGGGTCCTGGGGAGTCTTGAAGAATCCTGGGGAGTCCTGAGGAGTCCGGAGGTGTCCTGAAGAATCATTGGGGATCCAGAAGAATTCGAAGATATCCGGAAGAATCCCCAGGAGACCAACGGGATCCTGAGAACCCCATGGGGAGATCCAGAAGAATCCTTGGGGATCCCCAGGATTCCTGCGGGATCATGAGGAATCCTTGGGAGTCGGGAGGAGTCCTGAGGAATCCTGAAGGGTCCTGAGGAATCCTGACGAATCCGAAAGAATCCTGATGAGTCCAGAAGATGCCTGGGGGACCCTGAAGAATCCTTGAGGGTCCTGAGCAATCCTTGGGAATCCTGAAGAGTGTTCAGGGATCCTTAATGAATCTTGAGGGGTACCCTGAGGGGATCCTGAGGAATCATGGAGGATCCTAACGAGTCCGCAGGCGACCTGAGGAGACATGGTGGATCCTGAGGAATCCTGACGTGTCTTGAGGAATCCTTGGGGATGCTGAAAAATTCAAGGATATCCTGAAGAGTCCTGAGGAGCCCAACGGAATCCTGAAAACCCCGTGAGGCAAAAGAATCATTTGGGATCCCAAGGATTGCTGGGGGATCCTGAGGAATCCTGGGGACTCCGAAAGGAGCCTGAAGAATCCTGGAGGATCCTGAGGAATCCTCGGGAATCCCGCGGAATGGCTCCTGAGGAATCCCGAGGAATCCTGAGGGGTCCGATGGAATCCTTGGAGATCCTGGAGAGTCCAGAGGAGTCCTCAGAAATCCATAGGAATCCCAAGACATTCGCGGAAATCCTGGGGAAACCTTTGGAAACGCGCCAGGAATGCCGACCCCTTCTCCGGCCCAGTGGGGCACCTTGCGGTGCCGCCCCAGTGCCAACCCCTTCTCCGGCCCCGTGCGGCAAACCCTCGGTCGCTGGAGCTTTGCTTACCCTTCAGGATAAGCACCGGAGTTTTGAGAGAAGAAGAAGATCTCAACAACAAGCCGGGGCTGGTGTCATCGCCGTACCGAAGAACAACAACAACAACAACAACAACAACAACCACAACAACAACAACAACAACAACAACAACAACAAAACAACAACAACAACAACAACAACAACAACAACAACAACAACAACAACAACAACAACAACAACAACCACAACCACAACCACAACCACAACAACAACAACAACAACAACAACAACAACAACAACAACAACAACAACAACAGCAGAAGCAGCAACAACAACAACAGCAACAACCGCCACAACAGCAGCAGCAACAGCAGCAGCAGCAACAACAATCATGTTACCCTCATGCGCGATGCTTCCACACGAAGCATGCGAGCATCATGATAACCATCCCCATCATGGGGGACTATTGTTCTACAGCGAGGTCCGTGACTCCCATTCCCAGATTTCCCGCCCAATGAGGTCTTGCAAACACCTCCTCCGAGGAATTTCAACTTTATCCACCTCGAAAACGCATGCCCTCGCCTTGATGCGCCGATGCGAGACCGCAAGTGGAGCCCCAGCCAAGGGTAAAACACAAGGAAGTATCGGGCGACAGGATTGCCTCGGTGGGTATGAAGACTGTCGGCGGCGAGGCAAGCCCCTGGCCCTGAATAGAAAGGGAGGAAGTCCCGAGCAGGCCCGCTGCTGTTGCTGGAAGTGGTGCCAATGCTGAAGAGAGTAGGGCGCTAGTCCAGCATAGAATAAAACGAAGTCTCGAGCGGGAATGCCGGTGTTGTTGGGAGCTGTGTTTTTATCGGGACGGGGGCGATCGGCGGCGAGGAACAGCACCGCCCTGAGGAAAAAGGGAGGAAGCCTCGAGAAGGAGCGTTGTTCTTGCTGGGAGCGGCACCAGTTCAAAAGAGAGTAGGGCACCAGTCCAAAGTAAAACGGGAGGAAGTCTCGGGCGGAAGCGCTGGTTTTTTCGGGACGGCGGCTTTCGGCGGCGAGGAGGAGCACCGCCTTGAGCAAAAAAATGTGGAAGTCTCGAGCAGGAGCGTTGTTGTTGCTGGGGGCGGCGCCGATGAGAGAAAGAGTAACGCGCCAGTCCAGCGTAAAACGGGAGCAAGTCTCGAGCAGGAACGCTGGTTTTGTTGGGACGGCGGTTGTCGGCGGCGAGGAGGAACACCGCCTTGAGTAAGAAGGGAGGAAGTCTCGAGTGGGAGCAGTGGTTTTGTCGGGACGGGGGCTGTCGGCGGCGAGGAACAGCACTGTCCTGAGGAAAAAAGGAGGAAGCCTCGAGCGGGAGCGTTGTTCTGGCTGGGAGCGGCGTTAATTCAAAAGAGAGTAAGGCGCCAGTTCAGCGTAAAACGGGAGGAAGTCTCGGGTGGGAGCGCTGGTTTTGTCGGGACAGCGGATTGCGGCGGCGAGGAGGGGCACCGCTTAGAGTAAAACGGAGGAAGTCTCGAGCGGTAGCGATGGTTTTGCTGGGACGGCGCCTTTCGGCAGCGAGCAAGAACACCTGCCCTGAGTAGAAAAGGAGGAAATGTCGAGCAGGAGCGTTGTTGTTGTTGTTGGGGGGCCAGTTTGGGCGCCCCCCCAAACCGCTCGAGCGTGAGCCTCATTGAATGGGTATATTTCTTCGTAAGTTCTGCGGGATTAGCCAGGAAGTATCCAGCGAGAGAGCGATTCCTAAGTAAATTTGAAGAAGTCCCCGGCGAACGCGCGATTCCTGAATGGCAAGAGCGCGGCGCCTTAGCAAATTGCGAGGAAGTCTAAGGCGGGAGCGCGATGTTTGAGCAAATTGCGAGGATGTCTCAAGCGGGAGCGGGGGACCGGAGTAAATTGCGAGGAAATATCAAGCTGGAGCCGTTGTTGCTGTTGTTGTAAACCGGGGGCCAAGGGCCCAGTTTGAGGAGGAAGACTTTCCCATATAAAAAACTAGGTACGAGCGCTGGGAGGGGCACTTCAATTGAAAAAAAAATATGCACGGGAGGGGGGATCAATAATAGTTATTCTTCAGCACTGAAAGTTCAACAGCAACGTCATCATCATCATCATCATCATCATCATCATCATCAGCATCATCATCATCATCATCATCATCATCATCATCATCATCATCATCATCATCATCATCATCATCATCATCATCATCATTATTCATCATCATCATCATCAGCATCATCATCATCTCACCACCACCACCACCACCTCCACCATCATCATCATCATCATCATCATCATCATCATCATCATCATCATCAGTACCGTCATCATCATCATCATCAGCAGCAGCATCATCATCACCAACCTCATCTTTGTCGTCGTCATCATCGTTATCACCAGAAGCATCATCATAATGATGCATCATACTCATCACAAACATCATCATCATCATCAGCATCATCATCATGAGCAGCAGCATCATCAGCATCGGAATCATCATAACCATCATGATCATCATGTTCATCATCATCATAATCGTCGTCGTCATCATAACCATCGTCAAGATCGTCCCCATTCTCAGCATGATTATCATCATCACCATCCCCACCGACCTCAATCTCATCATCACCACCATATTCCTCCTCGTCGTTGTCATAGTCGTCAACATGATAGTCATCATCAACATCGTCGTCACCGCCGGAATCATCATCATCATCACGTTCACCATAACAACCACCACCATCATCACCATCATCACCACCATCTTAATCACCATCATCATCATCATCATCATCATCATCATCATCATCATCATCATCATCATCATCATCATCATCATCGTCATCAGCACCCCGATCATCATAGTCCTCCTAGCCCTACCCTCCTCCTCCCTCCTCCCCTCTGCCACCCCACTTCTCCCCCCGCGCGGGTTCCTGGGCGTGCGAGGGAGGAGAGACGGCGAGATCCAGAGGGAGGGAGGAAGGGGGAGGGAGGGAGGAGGGAGTGAGAAGGGAGGGAGAGAGGAATGAGGAAAAGGAGAAGGAGGAGTGAGGGAGGACAGGGAGGAGGGGAAGGAGGCCATCCTCTTCGCGCCTCTTTGGAATTCTCAGTCCCCTGGGGTGCCCAGACTAAAATTCTCGAGGTCTCCAAACGCATGCAAAAACTGCCAAGCTGCAAAACAATCTGGAGCCATTCAATCCTCATCCTCGTCCTCCTCCTCCTCCTCCTCCTCCTCCTCCTCCTCCTCCTCCTCCTCCTCCCGTCCTCCTCATCCTCCTCCTCCTCTTCCTTCTCCCCCTCCACCTATTCCTTCCTCTTCAGCGGCTGCGGCGTCAGCCAACTGGGCCAATGGAGGTGCCCGCGAATACGCCGCCGGTCGGTATCTGCAACCGCTTGAGCCACAGCAGTGGCTGCAGGGAGACGGAGCAAGAGGAGGGGGGAAGAGGGGGGAGGAGTGGGAGACCAGAGTGGTGGGCGATGTCAAGGCAGCATGACGAGCATGCGGAGGAGGAGAAGAAGAAAGACACAAAGTAGACGGGAACGGAGAAAGCCCCCCTCCCCCTGCCTCCCCAGACTCCTCCAGCCCGCCTGGAAATCCGTGAAGGACTCCGAATGGTGCACACGCAGAGGTCTTCACACTCACCGTCCTCAATGTGTTTTCCTCTCCACCTCAACCTCCTCATCCGCGTCCTCACTCCCCTCTAGAGAGGAGGAGGGGTGGAGGGGGAAAGAAGGAGAGAAAATGGGGAGGAAAAGGGGGAGCACGGGAGGGGGGGGGAGGGTCAAACGGGAAGCGGCGGAAGAGAAGGTCGAGGAGAAGCAGAAAGACGACGACGTGCGCGCACCTGCGACTTGCCGACAGACAGCACGACGACGAGGACCGACGACGAATGTCGAAGTCCTTTGGAGAGGACCCGCGAAAACACACAAGACCCTTCCGAGGGCCACATCGCCCCATGGATACAAGAGGACAAGAAACACGCTACACCAGACACTGGTTTACAATTGTTGATGGTGTTGTTTTGCTTGGTTCGCGGCGAGCTGGTTCCAGCAGGCGGTCGGCGAAGGGCGGGACAAAGCGGAAGCACATTACGCACACAAGATTCAAAGAGGCAGCAGGAGACGGGTGAGGGCTGCAGCTCAGGACGGCCAGAACCACACCAGGGAGCGCTCGAGGGTACGCCTTCCAGACATGAACAGGGCGGCTTCGTGGGAGTCAACGGTGGAGAAGTGGACCTCGATGTAAATAACATTGCGTGTTGGCACTCAGTACCTCATGTTTGACCATGCTCGCGCGCTGTTCAGCTCAACACCTACGCTCGCTCGCTTGTGGAAACAATACACAAGGCACAAGGGCACACTTCACTTTTAGATCGACCTTACGGGGGGAGATCTTGTCTGGTCGGCGGCGACTTGGGTCCAAGAAGCGTTCGAGGCACGGCGCAGGACACGCGGCACGAGAATGCGGCACGGTGGAAGAGGACAACAAGCAGGGAGCCGCGCGGGGAGCGGAGGCCGCATTCAGAACGCGAAGTCCTTGATCGCGGGTGCCGAGAGACCACGACTAAGCGCACGGCGCGAACAGCGAGGTGGAGAACTACGAGGCCAGAACGTGGACACCACGGCCAGGATCGTTCCAACAGGATAATGTATTCCGTCGCAGCGCGGAAGACGCAATCCGCGCGCGCGCCAGGCAGCCCCGGGCACGGCGCACGAACTGTCGGGCGGCACGAAGGAGGGAAGCAGGCGGGGGGGCGGCCGCAGAAAGCGGGCAGGGGGGGAGGAGGGCACTCCCCGCACGAAGAACTTCGGCAGAAGTGGCCGGGCCGGCCGGCCGTTGCGCAACGTTGCTGAGGCGCCCTGGCAGTGGACGAGGAGCGGCATCGCGCCCACACAGGGGCTGAGGCAACGACTGCAGACGCGCAAAGCGTAGGCCAAATTGTACCAGAACAGGAAGGGAGCGGCGAACGAGCCCACCGAAGCGGGCAGCATCCAGGCGCACGTCAGCGGGCTGCAGGCAGGCGTTGCCGCGATACGGCGCCAGCAGGACGCAGGAGGGCCAGCGACAACGGGGCCGAGGCCAGCGACCACCTCGCTGCAGCAAAAAGCAATACTGCAGTATTGCCGCGATGAACTGTAGAGAGTGGGGCGACAGAGCTGCCTGATGCAAAGCCGCCGAGGGCTGCGAGGCAGAGCAGCGACGCAGCCCTGGGCTGCTGAGCAAAACACCAACTACTGAAGTGGGGCAATGCGGAGAAAGCCGCCAGCCGTCGCGGGGGGCACCCAGGCGTCGGCAGGGCGGCGTGAGGCAATAAAGGGGGGCCGAACCCGACCATCGCAAGCATCACAGCCAGGCGCGGGGGGAACGCCTGGCCACAGGGTTGGCGGAGTGGTGGCGCCCAGCTGCAGGAGCATCGGGGCAGGGGGGGAGGGCGGCTGACCCGGCTGGCGCGCGCAAAATTGCAGCTGGGAGGGCAAGAGAGCCCGGACGCAAAACTGGCCACGCACGGATGCCCCGCCGCAGGAGCAGCGGGGCAGGCGACGGAGCCGGGCCCCGGCGCGCAGCAGCCAAACCTAGCAAACAAGAGCGAATCGCGCGCCAAAACCAATGTAATGCACAATGGTTTGTTGCCTACGCGTCCGTAACCAAACCGTCGCCTTGTAGATGCGATGTCGCTGCAGAGGCGTGCCTTGTTTTGATGTGCTTGCGGGAAATTGTGTTACGAACTGCGATTTGGTTATGATTTGGTTATGTAAAATGGAAACGTGGTTACGATCAGGTTACGGTACATCTAATATGGTTACGATGAAGCTACGATCCAAAATGGTTATGAAGTGGTTATGATTTGGTTACGATTTGGCTGCGACGTTCGCGGTGCATCGCGAACGAAGTAACCAAATCGCAACCAAATCGGGCCCCCCATGGGGGCGCAAATTCAACGCTGAACACCGAACCACCCAGACCATTCATGCGACCTCTTGCGTCGCAGCGCGAGGACGAGAATCTTGCGTTCGGGAGCGGCCGGGCGCGCGATCCCTCTGAAGGAGCGCGCGGGAATGGGGGTGGGACCATAGGCGGGGCCCCCCACGGCGCGCGATTGTGGAATGCACGGGAGTAACTGCATGGAACACAAAGACACACGAAGTACAAATAGGGGGAGTCGTGCTGTGAGAGAGCACGTTCCGTTTCCTTTTACGCGGGCCAGGGCGCGCCCGTCGCCCGCGAGCCAGGCGGCTGAAGGCCCTCGCGGGCCACCACGGCGGCGCGCGAGAGAGCACAGAGAGAGAGGCACGGGAGGAGAGGCGCTGACATGGGCATGACAAACACAACTCCTACATTTTTTGCAGCCGAGCCGCCGCCTCGCTTCAGCCCGTGAATTTCCGCTTATAGTTCTCGAAAATCGCACCCACTCAGATCCCGCAGCCATCTCATGCAGTCCGAAAGCGCCTGCGACGCACAGCCGGCACCGCTACACGAACACGTAGGCATCGGATCTCCACGAATGGATTGTCCGATCGCCCCATGAAGGCATTGCCAGATCCTGACTCGCCCGCACCTTGCCCCATCTCGCCCATGGGGCTCTGCGGTTCGGACCCGCGGAGGTCGCATTGGCATCCAGTTCGTTCGCTCCAGGTAGCGGGATGATGCGATGAGCTCTTTGGCCCATTAACGCAAGTACCTCTCGCGCTCGGGCGTCAGCTTGACCTCGAGAACCGTCAGGTCGGAGTCCTCGATCGTCTCATCCGAGCACGCGCGGGCACTCGGAAACGCGGTGGGAATGGCATGCGCCGCAAGGTACATCCTGACCGTGCGAGTCCATGGCCTGAATCGTCAAATGGCGATCTGCTTCGTCTGCATATTGTCCCAGATGCCCCCCCCTCGTCGCGGCGTGGATCCAGAGCTTGGCGGCGTAGGCACTGCCTTCGGTTTGGCACCACTGCTTGCGAACATGCACCCTGAGGCACCCTGCACGGCGTCGGCGGTCCACCTGTATCTCGGAAACGCATGAATGCAGATGCATGGGACACCGCGCGGATGTCCACCTCCTGGGCGAACACGCTTTCGATAGCAGAATGAGGAAGAAATGCGCAGACACAAACCTTCGGAGCTCTGCACGATTCCTCGGGCCGGCGCTGCCCCCCCCCCCCCCAGAAGCGCCGGGAGGGGGTTCCAGCGCCGACCCAAGAAGCCCGCGCAGAGCTCCGAAAATCTACTTCTGCGCCGCCTTCTGCGCCTCAACGATGGTCTCGGGGGCATCCTGTCCGTCGGCCACCTGCTTCTCGAGCCGGCCACGCAGAAAAGCGTTGAAGGCGCCCCTGGAGGAGCACGAGAACACACCGACAACGGACGCCTTCCCGCCAGAGAGGTCGACCCACGCCGCGGAGGGCGAGGCGACGGGCAGCCGCGGGCCCGGGGAATCGAAGCTGGCCGAGACGGCTGGCCAAGTCCCTGCACGGGCGCATCGTCGCCAAGCCGCCAGTCCAGCCGACGAAGTTGGACATCGGGGCGGACGCGCCCGCAGGGGTCCCCAGACTCGCCTCGAGCATCGCATCACCGATCCCCACCCCCTGTCCCCCTTGGCGCGGCCGTGGCCCCAATGGCCGACCCACCCACTGGCGCGGGGACACATGCCTCTTACTTCGGGGTTCCGCGGGGCCTCTCTCGACCTTTCGGAGGATGGGCTAGAAGTGCCGAGACGCCATGGCCCAGCGGTGATAGGGATGAGGTTAGACGATGCTGACGCCTGCATCGTCGTGGACCACGATGATCGCTTGGCCTATCCTCCTGGTCGAACAGCGAGCGCTCCTCCACCAGGCGGCGGCATTTTGCGCTCCGCGGCACACCGCTGCGCCCGCTCGGCCGGTCGGGCACCGCTGGCACGCGGTCGAGCAAGGCGCGCTTGACGCTCTTCTCGTCGCCGCCCGGACCGGCTTCTCGCCGGTCACCGCGAAGACCACGACGCGGCCCAGGAAGAAGATGTCCGCGGCGGCGCAGGGGGGGCACTTCTTGGTCAGGATCACCTCCGGCGCCTTCCACCCAAGCGCGCCGCCCATCGGCTTCTCGGCGCCGCCCAGGACGCGAGAGCCACCGAAATCCATCAGCCTGACCTGCGCCCACACGTTCGATCCAAGAGCGCGCTGCTCCACCATGACGCTCTCAGGCTTCAAGTCGCCGCGCACGATGACCGGCTTGGGCGCCCGAAGATACCTGATCGCAGAAAACAAGTCTAGAAACATCCTGGTCGGGCACGGCTCGTCAACCCGCTCACGATGCACGTGCATGAAGCGACCCAAATCGATGCCCCTGATAAGCTCCATCATTAGCGTCATGGCCCCCTTCTCGGAGTCGATGCACACTCCGTGGAAGTTGACGGTGCTCGGATGGCGCAAGCGGGGGATGAGCCGCAGCTCGTTGGCCAGCTGCCCCACGCCTTTCGCCATGCCCCTGTCCTTAGGGTGAGCGACCCTCATCGCCACGGGGGTTCCGTGGAGGGCGCCGACCACGGCGGTGCCGCACCCCCCCCCTGCCCACGATGCGGTCGGGGGCGATCGCGACCTCACTGGCGTCGAACAGCCAGTGCTCCCGGCGCCCCGTTTCGGCGATCTTCTCCAGGTTCGCCTCGCGCCACACCTCCAGCTGGGACAGCTCCGCGAGCGCCTCCGCCCCCGCCGCGTGGCCCGCCGGTCGGTCGGGGCTGGGCGCTACCGGCGGCGGCTACTCGGCGCGGGCGGCGAGCTTCGCCTCGCGCCACGCCTCTGGCTCGAGCAGCTCCACAAGCGCCTCCGCCCCCGCGGCTGCGCCCCCTGCCAGTCGGTCGGGGCTGGGCGCGCCGGGCGGCAGCTGCTTGGCCCCAGCGGCGAGCACGCCGAGCAGCGACGGCCCGCGGCGCGGTGGAGCTTTTCCAGCTCCTCGGCCCTCCTCCTCGCACAATCCGCGAACAGGGCGCCCCGCAAGAGCAGCGCCAGGTCGGCCGCGAGGGCGGCGCGAGAGCCCCAGCCCAGGCGCAGGGCGGCCAGCGCGCAGCACGCGGCGACGCACGGGGCGACGGTCGCGAGGAGCCGGTTTCCCCCCAGGACGAAGAGCGCGCAGAACGCGAGCTGCGTCTGCAACAGCAGGCTCGCCCAGCTGAGGCAGCGGAGCCGCGGCCCTTCGCGCGCCAGGGCCGCGCCGACCGCGGCGCCGAGCAGCAACACCGAGCGGGCGAACCAGGGCGGCGGGCAACATCATCGGCGGAGGGCTGCGCAGCGCCAGCCGTAGTAGATGGCGCCAGCCTGGGAGACGAACCATGTGGAGGCATTCAAGCAGGGCAAAAGATAGTCGCGGCTGCGGCTGGTCGCAGAACAGAACAACACGAGGTTGAACGCCATGGCCCCCGCCAGGTTCGAGACGAGCGCCCAATGGACAGCCGCCAAATCCAGAGAGCCCTCTGCGGAGTTCTGGCCGCACGTCGGCAAGTGGCTCAGCGCGGGAGCGAGAAAGCTCGGACCACCAATACCATCCAGGTCGCCCATGAAGCGCACCTTCAGTTGGCCCAGCGTTTTGAAGTTATATGCGCGACGCGCGACCGCAGGCAGAATATTGGCGCATGCGCCGGGCCGAGCCTTGTCGCGGGCCTCCCACGCAGCCCTCGAGCCAGGACGCTCAAGACGCGAATGGTCGATGCTCACCCGATGCGCCGGGCGCGCCGAGCGCACTGAGCGCGATCGGGGGTGAGAGACAAGGGCACGCGCGACATTTGCTCGGGACGTCTGGAGAAAAAGAGAACGCACACTGCGCGTGCTGCACTCGTCGCCCGCCTCCCTGACCTCCCAGGCTCTCCTGGGGATTCAAAAAACGATGCACATGCTGGGGGCCTTACTGGAGCCACTCGCTCATGTCACACCCAGACCCCTACACACATACACACAACCAGACCCACACCCACGTCCACACCCACGTCCACACCCACGTCCACACCCACACTCACGCCCACGCCCAAGCCCACGCGCCCGCGCCCACGTCCAGGCCCAAAGCCACGCCAACGCTCACCCCCACGCGCACGCCCACGCCCACGCCCACCTCCACGTCCACGCCAACGCCCACATCCACGCCCAAAAACACACATACAAACACACATATATATATATATATGTATGTATATCTCGTTTTGGTCGCGCATTCACCACTGGTTCAGATCTCGCAGCTGTGCCAGACAGTTGTGTTGAGGCGTTTACGCTGCGGGACCTAAGATCTCGCAGCTGTGCCAGACAGCTGTGTTGAAGCGTTTAAGCTGCGGGACCCCCCGTTTCACGCACCCTCCTCGCGCTCCCAGGAAACGAACGGGCCGAAGGGGCCCCCGAAGGAAATCCGAAGACCCCTTGAGAAACCTCTAAAGGCTCCGAGGCACCAGAAGCTTCGACCCCGAGGGAGCGACCAAGAAACCCCAGGCCGAGGGGGCGGCACGAACGGGGGGCCCGCCACCGAAGGAAAAGACTCCCCTGGGTGGCCGCCGCGGCCTCTCCAAAAAACTTGCTCGGGCGGTTGCGGGATGGCAGAGCAAGAAAGCTGCGAGGGCAACATCGGCGAGACAGCGGGACCCCCGAGATACCCCAATGACCTGTTGTCATAAGTCTGATCTCGTTTTGGTCGCACATTCGCCAATGGTTAAGATCTCGCAGCTGTGCCAAACAGCTGTGTTGAGGCGTTTACGCTGCGGGGCCCCCCGTTTCACGCACCCTCCTCGCGCTCCCAGGAGACGAACGGGCCGAAGGGGCCCCCGAAGGAAATCCGAAGACCCCTTGAGAAACCTCTAAAGGCTCCGAGGCACCAGAAGCTTCGACCCCGAGGGAGCGACCAAGAAACCCCAGGCCGAGGGGACGGCACGAACGGGGGGGCCGCCACCGAAGGAAAAGACTCCCCTGGGTGGCCGCCGCGGCCTCTCCATTCACACCTTTTCACTGGCTATAGCCGGAATTCAGTAACAGTAAGCCAAGCTGCTCTAATATATCTCTCGAAAGTTGGCTCATCGAGACATCTACAAGGTCGGCGACAGCCTCCTCGATGTACACTCGTGCAGAAGTTACGGCGCTCCACCTCCCTCGCTGCACTGTTCGCTCGAGGTTGGTGCCTAAGAGAAAGTCATGACAGGCACCTCCTCGCCTGAAACTGCACCAGGACCAGCGTGCAGGAGGGATCGATGCAACGGCGAGGAGCGATCTCAGAATCTGCTGCAGCTGTACGCATGCATATGGGCAAACATGATATGACGGCTGCGCGCTGGACGCCGCAGCTCGCACCAAGTGCACAGCAATTGGCGCCCTGACCACGACGAACTGCACTTTGCCAGACCTGACGCCAATCTTTGTCTCTGAGAGCCGCAAAATGACTCCGCCTTCGGCGAACGCGATGTCCTCATAGGTGTGGTCTCGCAACTCTTTGGTTCGAAGTATCGCGTCAAACGTGACGAGGACCAAAGCTGCCAACAGAGACTGGCCAGCCGCCAGCGCCGCGCCCGCAAGCCCGAGCGCCATCTCGGGGCTCGCCGGGTAGGCGCGGTTGATGGGCGCCAGCTTCTGCCACGTCTTGACCAGGGACCACGCAAACGGCAGGGCGGTGCGCAGCTCGGGGGCGAAGAAGAGGCAGCCTGCGAGCGCGTAGCGGCCATGGCTGAGCGTACCATCGTTCGCCCACTGGTCCTCCACGTAGGCGCCCAAAGCGCGATCAGCCTCGGCAGAGCTAGTCAGCGGGAAGACGCCCTCGATGGCGAAGGCGAGGAACTCCGCGACGGCGATGCGGCACCTCCTGAGCGTAACCGCGCTGACCCTGAGATCTGAGAGCCTCTGGGAGCCTCGCAGGTGCTGGAGTACCTGGGCTTGCGGCGAGAGCCTCTTAGCTGCCAGACCTTTCGGGACGGCGCGTCGGGAGGGTTGTCTTCCGACGCGATGTAGCCAAGCATGACGTAGCAGCCTGTCGCCCAGCATAAAGCTCCCCAGCGCTTGACTTGCATCCGCAAGACCCTGCTGCTGCTGCGGCCCTTCGTGAGCACCGAGGCGGCGAGCTGGCTGTCGATGAGGTGCAGCATACGCCTGGGGCGGCCCTGCCCTGACCGCAGGCGCCACTTGATAGTGTTCACTGCCGCCTGGATCTCTAGAGCGTTGATGTGCTTCCCGATTCCAGCGCGCCACCTGTAGCTCGATATCACCTTCCACGCCCAGACGTTGGGCTCCAGCGAAACGCGAGGCCACGCCCGGCGCCTGAATGGGAGGTGAACGTCCAGGCGCACGCCCGTGCCTCCCCGCTCGGCGATCGACAGGTAGTGCCTCACGAGCTGCTCCGCCTCGGGCTGGTACTGGTAGTCGTTGCTCTGATGGTACACCGCGTTGTCGTTCCAAGGAGTCCTGCACCTTCCGATGTGGCATAGGGCTCGGGGCTCCCACAACCGCGGCTGGTACTCGTCAGCGACCAGGGCGTGCTGCAGCAGACATGTCACGGCATAGATCGAGAAGCTGTTGCCGAGCAGGAAACAACGCGCGGTCTCAGAGCTCGAGCCAGACCCGTCCTTCACGGCACACTCAGTGTAGCCCCGATCGAACCCCAAGAGTACCTCTCTCTCCCCAGCTAACGGGGGACGGAGCTCCATGGTGGCCTCATGCTGGAGAAGGCAGGCGCGCTCGTAGAGGCCGACGTGATAACGATGATCGCCCTTTTTCCAGCGCGCCTTCGCCTCAGGACTGGCCCGAGCAATCCCAGCAGGACGAGTGGGCTGCAGCGAAGAGGGCCTAGCACACACGAGGGTCGGCACTGGCAGCACGCCACCGTTCTAGATCCAACCAGGGGTGACCCAGGGCAGCTCCACGCGCTCCGCGCCGTCGGCAGTGACCTCAATGAAGTGACCCTTGTTCTGGTAGCAGTAGCCCTCGCATGGCAGGAGCTGCCAGGACAACCAGCACAGCCGCGGTCTCCCGTTGGGAACCAGGCAGCTGCTGCAGAAACAGTAGGGCGTGACCTTGAGCTCGCGCGAGATGCGCTCGATGTCCTCGAGCGGCATGGAAGAGACATTCTCGACGAGGGAGCGCACCTTGCCAGGGAATGCCTCGCTGAGCAAGTTGAGGATCCGAGGTATCTCGCTGAAAAGGGCGCTCTTCTTGCCCTCCAGCCCTCTCCTGCCGAACATCAACTTCGACAGATATTGGCAGGGGCTGCCCGCTCCACAGTACACGAAGTCGACGATGCCGCCAAAGAGCTGCACCAACCTGTCAACCTGCTCGACCCCCACGTCCTGGATACTACCCCAGTCGATGAGGCCAGGCCACCTCTCCCTGATGACCCTGCGTGCACAAGGATCCACGTCCGACGAAACGTAGCCTATGATCTTGGTGAGCAGCCTGGAAAGCGCCACGATCACGCCCCCGATCCCGTCGAAGAGCCCAAGGACTAGGACAGCAGGCACCTCATCGCCAGCGGGCGGCGGCAGGCCAGGGTGACTCGACCCCCAGGCCCGCCAGAGGGGCGCCTCGCCCAGCAGGAGGCGTCCTGCCATGAGATGCTGCCGGCCCCCCTCTCCAGCAGTGGCGGCCGCCGTCAGCTTCGCGAGGGCCTCGGGGCAGAGCTTCAGCGATGTGCAGGCACCTCCTCCGTCTTCTGACGCGTCCGAACAGGTGACCATAGCGCCCACCTCCGCACGCAGGTCCGTGAAGGCGAATGGGAGAAGGCCGATGCTGCAGAGGATCTCCTCGGTCATCTCAGAGCTGACCCAGCAAGAGTGGGTGCCGTCCGCGAACTTCCAGACTTCGTTCAGGATGCAGAAGAGCACGCGCCTGAACTCCAGCGCCCTGACCAGCTTTCCCAGAAGTACGAGCATGGTCTTCCAGAAGACCCAGTCCTTGGTCATCAGCAGGGCGCCGAGCAGCATCGTCTCGAACAGCTTCAAGAGCGGAACCGAGACTCGGCCCCGCAGGCCGTCCAGAAGCACGCCCATCCCCTCGACCTTGACCTCGCCCAGGTGGGCCTTATGCTCGGCCCATGCGACGCCGTTCCGCTGGTAAGATGACCTCTGCTGCTTCTGGTAGCTAGAGCCGACGCCAACCTCCTTCCTCGCGTTGTCGACGATCCTGGGGGCATCGAAGTCGTCAATGAAGAACTGGAACCAAGCGCGGCACTTACCCACCTGAGCTATGGGAAGAGGCTTGTCTCTCCTCCACTCATCCTCATCAGGTAGGCCAGCTCCAGCAGGAGGAGGGCGCAGGCCTAGTCGTCTGTGCAGGTGTTGGAATAGCGTAACAGCCAGCAGCCAGCCCATCGGTATGACGGCTGAGCAGACGTGCGCAGTCTTCAGCTCAGGGCGCCCCACAAGTCGACCAGGAACCCGACCTGTGAGCGCGGTAAAGCTGCGCCAGGGGCGAGGGATCTTGCAGACAAAGAAGGCCCCCTGCTGGTCGTCACCCGACCAGAGCAGCACACGCTGGCCCTCCAACACCACAGTGACCCAAGATGTAGAAGCTGCAAGCGTCGAGAGGTCCTGAGTCATGATCTTCAGGTAGGTGTTGGCCGGCGCCATGTTCATGATGAAGCGGCACTGTCTAACCTCTCCAGCCTCTGGGGTGCACTTCTTCTCAACTGCAAAGGCCCCGTTGAGAACAGGCGTATCATTCACCTGAAAAATGTGCTCGTCCTCGATGGCCTCCACGATACCGAGCGAGTACAGGTGGCCAACGATCTTGGCCCACTCGGCGGGCGAGTCCACCAACAGCCTCGCCTTTGGCACCTCGGGGGGCCACTGGTTTGGACGCAATGGGCACTGAAAGAATGGGCACTATGCCCAACAGCAAATGTTGTCCCAAGCCAACAGCGGCCGCTGTTGGGCAGGCGGCCTCCTGTCTCGAATGGACACAGGCCGCGGCGGCGTGGACAGCGAGGCCTGTTCAAAATGAACAGGAACTCCTGTGGGGCATTGTACCCATTCTTTCAGTACCCATTTCGTGCGTGCAGAACTGGGCACGCGGCAGCAAGGCTAACGCCGGCTCGTCCAGCCAGCCGAGCACCTCAGGACTGACGTGTACACGTGGGCCAAGTCCACCTGCAACGTCAGCAGCGGGCAAGCCAGGTCGAAGCTGTCCGAGACGAAGTGGCAGAGCGCGCGTGCCGCTGTCGATGTCGCATGCACTGGAGGCCCTGGTCGAGATCTCGCTGAGGAGGGGCAGCTGATCCACGCCCAGGTTACCCTCGAGAAAGTACGAGACGGCCTCCCGCATGACTCCAACGGCACTGACCTGAGCGGACGAGTAGTGCGAGTGGTGGCCCCACTCCTCCTCCCCGCACGAGCCCGCGCACTGGTAGTTCGTGAGCATCACCTGGACGAAGACCCACATCTCTGCCGTCGCAGTCGCAGCAGAGGTTCGAATAGACTCGGGCTCTAATCGATCGACGGTAGCCGCAGTCGGCGTCTGACATGTAAGCTTCCAGGCCCTAGCATTGGTTAAAGGTGACGCAGCAAGAGGCAGTACATCCCGAAACCTCTGTCCCTGCTGCTGCGGTGAATGCGCGTGACGAAGGAGCACCGACAAAACTGTCCAAGCCTGCCTGGATGAGTAAACATGGCCTCTATCAGCCACAGCACGAAGGTGAGCGGGGTCATGCCATCCTCGAGGGCCGCTGCAAGCTTGACCTTCCAGGTCCACAAGTCAGTCATGCTCTTGAGCGTCCAGGGCCAGCTCGCTCCGCCGCTGGCACTTGACGAATTAGCCCCAGAAACGATCAGCCCCTCCGAGCGGCTGCCCAAGGGGCGGCAGCCTTCTGGTTTGCAGCCTTGTCCTGCGCGCCCGCGCCCTCCAAGATGGCCTCGCGAACGCCTCCACCCACAGGCGGCGCCTGTTTCTTCGGGGCGGAGCTCCGCATGATCTGAGCGAGGCGCTGCCGATACTGGCCTTGCGTCTCGCTGTCCTTCTTCGGGTTCTGCAGCTTCAAGTCCTTGAACGTCCTGGAGGTCATGTCCGCATTCTGGGCTTGTGGAGGCTGGCGGCTCGCGCCCGCCACCTCTGCAGCGCGAGCCGCCCCCTGAAAAACCTGATCGCGAAGTGGACCACCAAGCCCCCCTTTTCCGGGGTGGCCTGCAGGGGCAGCTCCCGAACTTCCTGGAGCCATCCCCCGGCCGAGCCCCTAGCCCACGGGCTTGAGCTTGCCCGCGAGCTCTGCGAGCTTCAACTCGCCGTACTCGACCATTCTCAGGAGCTCCTCTTCCTCGACGGTGATGGCCGCCATGTCGGCATCAGGGGGGATGAGCTCCAGCCACCTCGCGCCCCACCAATGCTTGCCCTTGCAAGCAAGCTGTCACGCCTTGAACCTCTGCATCAGCATGTCCATGGCCTCGAGGAGCCCGCCCTGGATCAAAAAGTCCAGGGGCTCGGAGAGGGTGCGCATCTCCCTGAACATGCCCTCGCCAATGGCCGAAACGGGGTGAGAGGCGAGAAAGATGTCCAGCAAGAACTTGTTGACTATGGCAGGGAGCTCCTCCTCAACCTCATGCATGCCCTTCGTGCTGAGAAACTGCTTCAGGTGCGTGAGATGGGCAGTCAACAACTTCCCTGGAGCGTCACGGGCCGTCCTCCTGAAAAACGCTCGAGAAGCAGCAAGGGCCCTCCCAGGCGTGAACTCCAGACCGTCGTTCACGCCGAAGCCCTCGATGCCGCCTCCCTGCGACAGCGCCCCCAGCAGAGAGCGGAGCAGGCGAGCAGCGGATCCGCCTGCGTCGCCCCCCCAAACCAGCAGCAGCTGCGCCGTCGCAGCCGCCAGCAGCACCCGCGTCTGAAGAGCCGCGCCTGGGGGCCTTCGCAGCTCTCTCGGCGAGGATCTCCTCCAAGGGCTTCCTCTTCGCGGGGGCCGCGGGGGCTCCAGCGCCTCGCGGCTCGCCGCCTGCGACGGCGCCGGCGCCGACGTCGCCCTTCAAGACGGCCAAGCGCTGGCGAAGGAGCGCCTGCATCTCGGCGTCGGGGCGGCGGGCAGCAGGCGCGCCAGCAGCAGCGGCAGCAGCGGCCACCAGCGGGGTCTCGCCGCCAGCAGCCCCACGGGGTCGAACGCCTGCCGCAGGGAGCGCATCGGCCACAGGCGCTGCTGCAGCAGAAGCCCTGCCCCGCGAAGGCGTTCGCCCTCGTAGCCTCGCAGCGGGGCCAGCGGGCAGGGCAGCAGCTGCGGCGGGAGCGCGCCCGCCAGGGCCGGCAGCTAGCGCGTCCGCCTCCTCGATGACCTTGGCAGTGAGCCCGAACTCATCAGCTTCATCGCCGTCATCGGCCAGCGCCTCCAGGCCAGGCCCCGCCTCGTCATCCAGCGGCTGCGGTCCAAGCCCAGCGGGCCACCGCGCAGCAGGGTTGACGCGGCGGAAGGACAGGTACCTCTCCTCGACCGAGTTCACAATCGAGAAGCTGTCGACGCGCGTGACCTCCACGTCGGCTGCCGAGACCGCTGAGCACATCGAAGCAGGCTCATCGCGGCAGAAGTGCAGCAGCCGCTTCGGGCGCCTGGCGCCAGGAGAGCCTGCATTCTCCTCGTACCACTGCAACTACTGGTCCGTGCAGAACAAGAACTCCGCACGAGCGAACTGGCCGTTCTCGTCGGGCTCGTACAGAGCGAGGATCCGAAAGACCGCCTGGCCTTGGTCCTCGTCCGCGTCGTCGTAGCAGACGACGTCGACGTAGTCTCCTGCGCGCAGGTGGCGACCCTCGCCAGCGCCCTCGCCAGCATCGTCGCCAGCGGCCTCCGCCGCCTCCGCCATCTAGCCTGCAGGAGCGGGCGACGCCACCTCGCGCGATCGCGCACGCGCACCCTGAGTGCGCGAAAAAATATCAGAGCAAGAAAGCTGCGAGGGCAACATCGGCGAGACAGCGGGACCCCCGAGATACCCCCAATGACCTGTTGTCATAAGTCTGATATATATATATATATATATATATATATATATATATATATATATATATATATATATAGCTACACCACATACCTCCCATCACCCACACCCCACCCACACCAACACGGACACAAATGACAACGCCCGCGCCACGCCCACGCCCAGAGCCACCCCCACCCCCGCACACACACACATACACACACACACACACACACACACACAAACCACAACCCACGCGATCGACCACGCCTGCGCCCACGCCCACGCCCACAGCCACACCCATACACAGACGCACTTTTTTGGTCTGCGGGTCGAGAGCGAGCCTCTTCCGGTCAAGAGCAAGGCGGGCCGCGCAAAGCACTAACTGGGGAGACAGACCCATGCGCAGACACACACACAAACAAATAAACAAACAAACCATCAAACAAACAAACACACAGACCCACACCAACGCCCACGCCCACACTCACGCCCACGCCCACACCAACACGCCCGCGCCCACGTCCAGGCCCACACCCACGCCGACGCTCACACCCACGCCCACGCCCACGCCAACGCCCACGCCCACCTCCCCGTTCACGCCCACGCCCACACCCACACGAACAAAAACGACAACGCCCCCGCCCACGCCCACGCCGACGTCCACACCCACGCCAACAGACACCCCCATCCCCACACATACACGCACATCCCAACCCACACGCCATCGACCACGCCTGCGCCCACGCACACGCCCATCCCAATACGCACAGACACACGCACACACATACATGCTTAAGTCGGCGGCGCAGAGGGACTTCAGGCGCGGTCGGAAGGTGGAGGCGCCACTTGCAAACGAAGTCGGTCGAACGCAACAAAAAAAAGAAAGAAGGGGGAAAAAAGAAATAATAAGAAGAAAGAGGGAAAAAAGGAAGAACACAAAAAAAACAAAAGTGTTTTAAAATTGTGTGTGTGTCTTTTTAAAATATTGAAATTATTTTTTTAATATATATATATATATACATACAACACGGGGAAAAAAACAAACCACAAAAAAAAATGAAGAGCTGCAACGCGGAAGCGCAGTGGCCAAACAACTCCGGGAGCATCAGCTCGACGAGAGTAATTCGAAGCGCCAGCTGCTGATAATTGAAGCCTCGGGGAGACAGCAACGAAAAGTAACCGCAAGGCTGCCAGATCAACCAATGCGGCGGCGGCGAGCGCAAGAAAGACACCACAGAGAACGGACACCGCCCTTGCAGCGAGCAAGTAACAGAGGGAGCCACCGTGCCACATAATCCATGGTCGGCGCGAGGAGGTAAAACACGGCCGAGGCCCCCGTGACCCTAAAAGATAAAAGCATAGCCAAACGCGGGCTACCGCCAGACGCCACCGCGAAACGCGGCCTCGCATGGGCAGAGGACTCCTCCAGGCGCGAGCATGGCCCCGAGCGCGCAGTGCCAACGCCAGCGATAAAACATCCCCCCCCCCCCCCCCCCGCCAGAGCCGCAAAGGGCTACAGGCGAGGCAGGTGAAAACAATATCAGCAAGCAGGGCAACCACGGCCCAAGAGAGACTGCACGGACCACCGCAATGGTCGCACCACTCCGACAAGACGGCGACAGGAAAAAGAAAGGACGAGCGAAGCGAACCCGCCGACGGGATACGCCGACGCTCTAACAGAAAGTGACAGACCCCCGCAGTGGGAACGACCCGAAAGGAGCGGGAGCGGGAGGGGCCGACGCTCTAACAGAAAGTGACAGACCCCCGCAGTGGGAACGACCCGAAAGGAGCGGGAGCGGGAGGGGCAGCGAAAGCTAAAGTCAAAGAGGAGCCCGGAGAGACGACGGCGAAAGACCCAGCGACACGGCCGACCCGCGACCAACTGA